TTTATTTATTTATTTATTTATTTATTTATTTATTTATTTATTTATTTTAGACAGGTCTCACTCTGTAGCCCAGGCTGTAGTACAGTAGAATGAACATAGCTCCTCGCAACCTTCATCTCCTACACTCAAGTGATCCTCCCACCTCAGCCTCCTACGTAGCTAGGACTACAGGTACACACCACCACATCCAGCTAATTATTTTTTTTTTAAATTTTGTATGGAGATGGGTCTCACCATATTGCCAAAGCTAGTCTCAAACTCCTGGGCTCAAGCAATTCTCACATCTCAGCCTCCCAAAGTGCTGGGATTACAGGTGTGAGCAAACGGGCCCAGCCCTAATTTGTTTTTAAATCCAAAAATAAATCAACAATAGAAGCTAGCACTCTAACTTTTAATACTTCAAAATATTTTCTGCATAGTTTCCCCAAATATTAGCATTCTAATTGTGACCAGCATTATAGCTTTTAATGAGTCTAATCCAACTAAATAATAAACAAACGAGCATGAAAACTGTAGGAAATAATCATTGGTATATGCTCTATAAATAGTTACCAAGTTTACCTTTAAATTGCATGTTTAGTTTTTCCTTACAACTTAACACCAGATACAGAAACTCTAGAAGTCATAAACAAAGACTAAACAAAATCCCCTCTTCTTGCCAAGATGTGTACATAATTGCAGTAGTCTTAGGCTGCATATAAATATATGTTACATACATGTCTCTTATTCCATACAAAATCCCAGCAAATATTTTTCCACAAAGCAGGAGGAATTTGTTCTCTCAAATTGAAAGTTTTTGCCCATTAAAAAGGTTATCTTAAATAGCCCTAAAGAAATATGTTCTGAAAATAACAGTTGTATCATATTTCACTTATTATTTTCCATATGAAAACATCAATAAAATAAGTTTACCAAAGTCAATCAGCCTGTTCAATGAACACTGAAAAATACAAATTTATCCAGAGTGATTACAAATGAAAATGTGTGCTATTTCAAAATTACATGCACCTCTTTAAAAATCAGGGCAATTAATAGAGCACTTAAATCATATTAGCTGAGTTCAAATTTAGCCCCTAAATAATATTTAAAGTTTCCTTATTCCTTTATACTATTTTACAAAATAATAAAACTTGGTAATTATATTTTCTTTTGCTACTTACTTCAAACTATACAGTTAGGACTGCAAACCAATGTAGGTATCTTATATTATTGGTCTATACCTAATTATGTATAAACACTAATGGAAACAACACCGTTCCAATCCACTATGACAATTTTCTTCTACTTTACAAGTAAGAATTTCTAACCCATCTCAACAACGAATCACATTTTAATTTTGGGTTTGAAAACATGTATTAGGGGCACATTTTTAAAAACAAGTACAATATGTAATCCTGCTTTTCAGTGAGCCAGTGAATTTTTGTTTATTTGTTTTTATGAATATTTGGTTTACTTCCTTCTTCTGGGTAAGATTAGTATGCAATTCTCATTCTTCTTCAGCAAGTCAAAAACCTACAGACCTAAACTATATGAAAACTTAACTTGGTATTGTTAGATGAAGACAGGTAAGCTAGCACCAAAAGAATAACTGTACTAAATTTTAACACTATTCATTAACAATTCCATTTTCCTGAGTTTGCGTTTGTTCTTTGGCATTGGTTTAGGATATAATCCATTTTTCAGAAGGTGTTCCTTGCTGAGGCGAATTTGGGCACCATGCTGAAGTTGAAAAGAGCATAAAGCTTGAAGAGGGCGAAGCAAAGTCTGTTAAGAAAAAAAAAGACACTAAAAAAGTGTCTATGACAAATCATGATATTCTATCTACATTTTTCATTGAGAAATAGGAGTCATTATGTTTCTTTTATTATGATTGGCTTTTAACTATGAGAAACAGTAGGCACTCTGATAAATATGTAATTATTTCTAGATGAATAATGTCTTTAAAATTCACACCTTAATATCACACTAAGGAATTTTAGTAAAAACATACAAATACTGATTTTCCACATAGGTAATAAAGTCTGATATTAGTTTTATACATTAACTTATTCAAACACCAGGAAAAACTGTTGCCATTATAACTGAATCTGTAACAAGCAGACTAAATGAGACATTTAAATACAAAGATAAGTACATCAAACAGTCAATTCAGTTTCTATGACAAATTAATGCGAGCTTACTGACACCTGATAACAGATGGCAGCAATGGGTAAACAGTTTGCTATTTCTCTCACATTAGTGCCATGGACCACATACAAGTTAGATACCCAGGTTTTGGTGCATTTGAAATCATTCTAACAATATCTGAACCTGTCTAAATTCAAATACCTATAGGCCAGTCACGTAACAGAAACAAGTAAACTAGGTGGATCTTTATAAGCCAACTGAGAATAGTGGTGGTTGTAATACAACTGGAGTATATGCTCTACCTAAAGTTATTCAAATTCAAAAATTAAAAAGCCAGTGTTTTAAACATATTTTGGGTGAGATTCCTTCCTTGGGCCTGAGACCCCTGATGCAGATGTTTTCAAAAATATAGCAAAAACAATTGAACAGATTGTTACAGGATCACAAAAGAAACAAAGAAAAACTGATAGATTGATAGATTTAACTACAAAAAAATCACAATGTCTACATGAAAACTTATTAACCCACAAAGAAAACCCCATGTGAATTAATAACTGCAGTAACGGTTCTCTTACACGCGGCCAAATATCATTCCTAACTATAATATACACTCTCACATCTGTAATCCCAGCATTTTGGGAGGCTGATGCACAACATAAGTGATAGAAAAGGGGCTAATTAGCTTTAATTTACAATGAACTCTTAAAAATTGTGATAGTCACTAGTAGTTGCTTCTTCGTATTCATTTTCTCCCTTGTTAAAATAATTCAAATTATATTCAAGGTAGCAATGTGTCCAGCTACTAATATTACATTGACTAATGACCCAATCTATCCAAGATGATGTAACTAGAAGTCCTTGGATGGGGCTTCTAGAGATACTCTTTAAAGGGGACAAACTTAGCAGGCATAGGTTTTTGTCCTTTTTTCCTGCCTAGAAAATGATTGAAGGTAGGACAAGCATCATATGACTCCTAGACAATAAACATGAAGATTAAAGCCAAATACATAAGATGATGGACAGAAAGAAAAGAAAACTTGTCCCTGAAGTCTTTTTCAAGCTGCATTCCCAGTCAGGACTGCCCACCTCAGCATTTCTGATTTACAGGAGAAAAAGAAAACCCCATGTGAATTAACCACTGCAGTAAGGGCTCTCTTAGATGCAGGCAAATATAATTCCTTACTGTAATATACACCCTCACATCTGTAATCCCAGCATTTTGGGAGGCTGATGCAGGAGGATTGCTTGAGCCCAGGAGTTTGAGACCAGCCTAGACAACATGGCAAGACCCTGTTTCTATGAAAAGAAAAGAAAAGAAAAGAAAAGAAAAGAAAAGAAAAGAAAAGAAAAGAAAGGAAAGGAGGAAAGAAAATGAAAGAAAAAGAGAAAGAAAGAAAGAAAGAAAGAAAGAGAGAGAGAAAGAGAGAGAGAGAGAGAGAGAGAGAGAGAGAGAGAAAGAAAGAAAGAAAGAAAGAAAGAAAGAAAGAAAGAAAAAGAAAGAAAGAAAGAAAGAAAGAAAGAAAGAAAGAAAGAAAGAAAGAAAGAAAGAAAGAAGAAAGAAACAAACAAAAAAGGAAGGAAGGAAGGAAGGAAGGAAGGAAGGAAGGAAGGAAGGAAGGAAGGAAGGAAGGAAGGAAGGAAGGAAGGGATTAGTCAGACATGGTGGTGTGCACCTGTGGTCCCAGCTACTTGGGAGGCTGAGGCAGGAGGTCAAGGCAGCAGTGGACCATGATCATACCACTGCACTCCAGCCTCGGTGGCAGAATAAGAAACTTTCTTCTTTTTTTTTGAGATGGAGTCTCGCTCTGTTACCCAGACTGGAGTACAGTGGCATGATCTCAGCTCACTGCAACCTCTGCCTCCTGGATTCAAGTGATTCTTCCGCCTCAGCCTCCCAAGTAGCTGGGACTATAGGCATGCGCTACCATGCCCAGCTAATTTTTGTATTTTTAGTAGAGGCAGGGTTTCAACATATTAGCCAGGCTGGTCTCGAACTCCTGACCTCCTGATATGCCCGTCTCAGCCTCCTAAAGTGCTGGGATTACAGGTGTGAGCCACGGTACCCAGTCCAGAATGAGAAACCAAAGAAAAGAAATAAAAAGAAGGAAGGAAAAGAAAAGGGAAAGGGAAGAAAAAAGGCAGGGAGGGAGGAAGAAAAGGAGGGAGGGAGAAAGAGAAAGAAAGAAAAAAGGTAAACATCTTGGAAAGGCTCTGCACAATATTATTGTAGAAAACTCCTTAAGCATGTTCTCTTAATTTATTTTAAAGCAGAAAACAAGAAGACGAATGCTAAAATAACAATATATGACTTTACATACTTTACAGAGTCAGCACAGTGGACTGATTGGATTCTGAAACATCGTACCTAGGAAACATACCTAGGACTACATACAGACCAAGACAACTGAAGATTCTATTGATATTTTATGACATTTATTAGATTCTTGTATAGAGAAGAAAACTCATATTCTTATGGTCAATAGATTCCAACTTTTACATCCTGAAGATAAGATTCTATCAATTTACTGAGGTAATGAAGAGAATGAATTTTGGAAACAGGCAGATCTGAATTAGATCCCCATCCATCTTTGTTGGTACTCCCTACAGCTGTTCACAAATAGTCCAGACCTCCTTCTTGATACATGAGCAGATTGGCATTTTCTATCCCTTTTTAAAGTTAGGCACAGCCATATCACTTGCTTTGGTTAATGAAATGTGAGTACAACTCATATGTGTCACCTTAGGGCAGAAGCATTAAAAGTGGTATAGGATTCACCACCTTCCTTGCTCCTTCCTTGATGAAAGTGGGATGAATTATCTAGATAGTTCCTCCATCAGGATGGATGCCTGGGTGACTGCAATGAGCAGAGGTCCTCAGGGTAATCCCACTGGACAAACAGCATGAGAGATGCATAAAGTTTTGTCATCTTATGTGATTTCAACTTTAGAGTTTTAAAGTTGTAGCCTATCCTAGTAAATCCTTTTTGCTGCATGTGAGAAGTGACAGTTTTCAAGGAACCATTACTACCAACTGCTGGTATTGGGTACAGTCAAAACATTCAGGCTATAGAAGAGGTTCTGCCACATCCATCTTTAAAAATTCCTATGATAAAACTTCGTAAGTAGAGAAGGCTCTGTAATAAAAAAGATCCCTAAGCTAAAGGTTTCCAAGGTATGAAAAGTCCAGTAAATACTGCAGTAGCTAATGAAAGCCACCACCTTTTACTTCACACTTTCTTTTGCCAATCTACAGGTAAAAATTAGAGGAAAAGAAGGGCAAAAGGATTAACTCTTTTTGAGTGCCTGTGCTGACAACTGTAGCAATTACTCATTATTACCTCAGTTCTTGAAATACTATGAGGTAACTATTTGTATATTACAGATAAGAACACAAGTACAAAGAAATTATGTGGTCTGCCCACTTGCAAAAAGTGATGATAATAAGTTGTAATTCAAAACTACTTCAAAGTCCATATCATGCTACTTTCCTGTAGCCATACTCTCAGGTGCTTGAAAAACTGCTCCAGAATAGAGTGAGGATGAGACAACAGACTAACAAAGCTATTCTGTGCCAAGTTCTTTATTTTGAGGAGCCCTGCCTCTATAGAATAAAGCCAAGTGAAAATTGACTCTTCTCTGGTGGGCACGGTAGCTCAGGCCTGTAATTCCAACATTTTGGCAGGCCAAGGCAGGTGGATCACTTAAATCCCCTAGGAGTTCAAGACCAATCTGGGCAACATGAGACTCCCCCCGCCTCTCCCATCTCTACAAAAAATACAAAAATTAGCTGGGCATGGTGGCATGCACCTGTAGTCCCAGCTACTTGGGAGGCTGAGGTGAGAAGATTGCTTAAACCTAGGAGGCAGAAGGTGCAGTGAATCAAGATCATGCCACTGCACTCCAGCCTGGGTGACAGAGCAAGACTCTGTTGGAAAAGAAAAAGAAAAGCAAAGCAAAGGGAAGAAAGAGAAGAGGAAAAAGAAAGGAAAAAGAAAAAGAAAATGTACTATTCTCCCCCACCATCTTAAGGTTTTATTAGAATGCCCCTGATAAAACATTATTGGGAAAAAGTGTGTGTCGGCCGGGCGCGGTGGCTCACGCCTGTAATCCCAGCACTTTGGGAGGCCGAGGCGGGCGGATCACAAGGTCAGGAGATCGAGATCATGGTGAAACCCCGTCTCTACTAAAAATAGAAAAAATTAGCCGGGCGCAGTGGCGGGCGCCTGTAGTCCCAGCTACTCGGGAGGCTGAGGCAGGAGAATGGCGTGAACCCGGGAGGCGGAGCTTGCAGTGAGCCGAGATTGCGCCACTGCACTCCAGCCTGGGCGACAGAGCGAGACTCCGTCTCAAAAAAAAAAAAAAAAAAAAAAGTGTGTGTCACCACTTTCCTCCCCAGGAGGGAAAGAAAACCCCTATGTTCAGGGCAGACTGATACTGCATTTCACAAAGATGCTAATTTATTATCATAACTAGATGCTAATTTTTTTCTTGTAACTAGATTTGAAAAGGCTGGATGTGGGATTTCCCCACTAAGAAAACAGCTTTTACTATAAACTGTGGCTGGAGGCAATTTTTGCCATCTGTAATAATAAGTAACTTGAGATGTTTCATTATGTATTTCTTCTGTTCACGCTCCCACCATGTTATCAGTACCTCCCAAATCACAGGTCTGACTGTCAAACATCCTTTTTCTACTCCTGGCCACTGCAGTACAATTACTCCTGGCAGCCAAAGCAAGCAGAATGAGGGTTCTAATACCTCACTATTACTTTGGGACTTTATGTTTAATTTTATCTACAGACAACAATAACAAAAGCTGAAGAGATAATGGGTCCTGTCACCATTCCATTGTCTTAAACTTTGCCTTTTGTTACATATTACACTCAGAATGTATTTTGCAAGTCTCAAGTTGTCACAATAAGGATTCCTTTTTTGTTTTTTTGTTTTTTTTTTTTCAGATATCACATCACAAAGCACAATCTAGCAAGATTCAAGTCAGCCTGTTGCTTTATGTCATCAATAAATGCCTTGGGTTATATAAAACAACAGAATTAATGAAAGAATGAAAAAATGCTGATGAAGAAGAGGCCCTAAAACAACATGAAGAAAGCTGTCCTAAATATATAATGTTATATCATTTTTTCAAAAACTTCCTTATCAGTTAACTTTGAAAGAATTCATTCTAATACTTTGTAGAGTCTAGAACATTTGTAAAATAAAGCCTGAAATATTTTTAGCTAATAGGGTTCCTAATAAAATGGTACATTATTTTTTAAATTTATCTTTTTTTTTACAAGTAGATGGTACATTAATTAACATCAAAATATTATAAAACTGGAGAGAAGGGAGCACTAGAAGAATTAGTAGTAGAAGTAGTAGTAGTACAAACCCTTTCCTTAACTGCAACCCTATTATTCTACAACTGCTATTACCATAACCAGCACCATTACTAACATTAAAGGTTACATTTAGGATTGTAGTAAAGATCCACTTACAATTGTGGGAATAAGAGATATAAGTCCATAGAGAATTCTTTCCAGAACCCAAAAGGAGAGAAAAGTAAGCTTTAAATCTATAGCTAAGGAATATATTTTTCCCTCAAAATTTGAACTTTCAATGGGTCCTTGTTCGGTCTGATGTTGTCTGATCCTAGAGTTTTACATCAACAAAAAAGAAAATGCAGAGACCATAGAGAAAGCAAGTTTAAACAATAGCACTGGGTTACATAACTCTATTATAAAGACACCTGTGAAGAGCGTGTATGTATATATATTTGCTAAGAATATACAGAGATGATGGTAAATAAACAAACAGAAAGATACATATGGGTTATATAAAGTACTATGTTCATGGCTAGGGACATGGGAGTAGGTGACATGGTTAGAGGAGATGGAAAGGTGTCTGAGAACACTCCCTGCTCATTTAAAGTAAGAATCTATGGTCCTTCATGAATTTTTTTTCAAAGGCAGAGAAAGTGAAATTGCCTAGACCCAAAACAAAGTCTACTCAAACACACACACACACACACACACACACACACACACACACACGAAAAGCCTACTTCTTTCAAAAGAAAAAAAAAAGTCTCCAACTCTGACATTTTCCACAGCTTAAGGTAGAGGAGAGGAAAAAAGTAATTCAATGCCTGCTTATAACATTTTTTTTTTGAGACGGAGTCTTGCTGTGTCGCCCAGGCCGGAGTGCAGTGGTGTAATCTCGGCTCACCGCAAGCTCCGCCTCCTGGGTTCACGCCATTCTCCTGCCTCAGCCTCCCAAGTAGCTGGGACTACAGGCACCCGCCACCACGCCTGGCTAATTTTTTGTATTTTTAGTAGAGACAGGGTTTCACCATGTTAGCCAGGATGGTCTCGATCTGTTGACCTCATGATCCACCTGCCTCGGCCTCCCAAAGTGCTGGGATTACAGGCATGAGCCACTGTGCCTGGTCATGCCCGCTTCTAATATTCTTTAACGCTCCTTGCTTTTCATATATTTTTGTTCTCTTTAGGATTAATATCTTGGTAGCTAATACATTTACTCTGAACTGAGCTTTCATCTGTTACTGAAATTTCCTTCGTGTTTAAGGCATACTCATAACTGTAACCATAATGGATAATGAGAAAGAAAGAGTACCTCACGTGTGTGTACATGCGTGTGTGCATGCATGTGTTTATGCAGTGTTTTGAAGGCGAAGTTATAAATCCCATTTATTTGTGCTTATTATCCACTGACTTTCTTGAGTTGTATTTATCAAAACTTTTCAATAATTAAAAAACCGTAACAATTTAGGTTTCATTTCACTATTTTTTCTTTTGCTACAAATGCTAAGTTTCTTATATGTTCCAAAAGACTGAGATGTTAGTAAGCACACTGAAACATTATTCTTTGCTGATGATTATTAATTTTATATGAAATCATCATGCTTTCATAGAAATTAAAATAATTGCAGGTTATAATGTTTTCATATTTTCTAGGCTTTTTTTTTTTCAAGAAAAATGTCTTTTTTACATTCTAAGCAAGGTTAATATGAGAAACAGAAAGTTAATATACCTCCTCAAATAACGGCACCGATGCAAAAATTAAAATGTTGCTATAGAATGTTCTTTTAACTAAAAAGAAGAAAAGGCTGAGCACAAGAGAACACAAAATACCAAAAAGAGAAAACACTAAAAGAAAAATCTAGTCAAAAAACTATTTAATGTTGTGCTACTTAACTGTAATTTAGCATATTACAAATTATGTTTGCACAGCTTAGTATGAATATTTAAATAATGCAATCTGGAATGCTAAACTAACACAGAAAAACACCAGAGGGGAAAGAAGGTTATAAAAGTACATAAATTTCTATCACAGAAGATTCTACTTGTCACATGAGTTACAAATTTAACAAGCATGTCTAAATCTTCTATGTAAAATCCAAGAAAATTCCCACTTTCAAAAACTATAACCTTCCAAAGACGTACCTCTTGTATGTAATTATTTTTCTCCAAGATGGAAAGAGCAACAGCTGCACACTCCAATGTAGAAAGGCATCTATTAGTCGGTTGCATCCGAATTACATACTGACTAGAAATGCTAGTTTTTAACTGCACCTGAAATCAAACACAAAATAGAATGTAATTTTTGTATTAAATTTAAAGTTATAAAGTCTGTGTTTTAAATACTAATTACTTTCCTTCCAAAACTGCCAGCAGCTTAGAAGTATTAAATGTATCAATATCTTTTATGTATAACATCTTTTTGTTATTACTGTTAAACAGTAGAAGCAAGAAGATAGCTATACAGAAGAAGACATATCCACAATATATACAAACTACTACAAATCCAGGGTAAAAAGACTAATAATCCCCTTGCAGTAAAGAGTGAATATACACTTCACAAAAGAAGTTATAAGAATGGCAAATAGGTACATAAAAAAGTGTTCAACATGATCTAACATAAATTAAAACCACAATAGGGTAACATTTCACATTCAATAGAGTAGCTAAAATCAAAAAGGCTACAGCTAAAATCAAAAAGGCTACAAGGCTACAATAACCAAAAGAGCAGGGTACTGGTATTAAAACAGATATATAAACCAATGAAACAGAACAGAGGCCTCAGAAATAACGCCACACATCTACAAGCATCTGATCTTTGACAAACCCAACACAAACAAGCAATGGGGAAAGGATTCCCTATTTAATAAATGGTGTTGGGAAAACTGGCTAGCCATATGCAGAAAACTGAAACTGGACACTTTTCTTACACCTTACAAAAATTAACTCAAAATGGATTAAAGACTTAAGCATAAAACCTAAAACCATAAAAACCCTAGAAGAAAACCCAGGCAATACCATTCAGGACACAGGCATGGGCAAAGACTTTATGACTAAAACACCAAAGAAATGGCAACAAAAGCCAAAATTGACAAATGGGATCTAATTAAACTAAAGAACTTCTGCACAGCAAATGAAACTATCTTCAGAGTGAATAGGCAACCTACAAAATAGGAGAAAATTTTTGCAATCTATCCATCTGACAAAGGGCTAATATCCAGAATCTACAAGGAACTTAAACAAATTTACAAGGAAAAAGCAAACAACCCCATCAAAAAGTGGGCAAAGGCTATGAACAGACACTTCTCAAAAGTCTACATTTATGTGGCCAACAAACATGAAAAAAATCTCATCATCAGTGATCATTAGAGAAATCCAATCAAAACCACAATGAGATACCATCTCACGCCAGTTAGAATGGTGATCATTAAAAAGTCAGGAAACAACATACACTGGAGAGGATGTGGAGAAATAGGAACACTTTTACACTGTTGGTGGGAGTGTAAATTAGTTCAACCACTGTGGAAGACAGTGTGGCAATTCCTCAAGGCTAGAACCAGAAACACCATTTGATCCAGCAATCCCATTACTGAGTACATACCCAAAGGATTATAAATCATTCTACTATAAAGATGCATGCACACATATGTTTATTGCAGCATTATTCACAATAGCAAAGACTTGAAACCAACCCAAATGCCTATCAATGACAGACTGGATAAAGAAAATGTGGCACATATACACCATGGAATACTATGCAGACATAAAAAGGATGAGTTCATGTCCTTTGCAGGGACATGGATGAAGCTGGAAACCATCATTCTCAGCAAACTAACACAGGAACAGAAAACCAAACACTGCATGTTCTCAGTTGTAAGTGGGAGTTGTACAATGAGAACACATGAACACAGGGAGGGGAACATCACACACCGGGGAATGTTGGGGGGTGTGGGGGCTAGGAGAGGGATAGCATTAGGAGAAATACCTAATGTAGATGATGGGTTGAGCAAACCACCATGGCACGTGTATACCTATGTAACAAAACTGCAAGTTCTGTACATGTATCCCAGAACTTAAAGTATAATAATAAAAATAAAATGAAATAAAATAAAATAAAAATGAGGAAAGAACTCCCTATTCAATAAATGGTGCTGGGATAACTGGTTTACCATATGCAGAAGAATGAAACTGGACTTCTACATATCACCATACACAAAAATTAATTCAAGATGGCCAGGTGGGGTGGCTCACACCTATAATCCCAGCACTTTGGGAAGCCGAGGCTGGCAGATCTCTTAAGGCCAGGAGTTTGAGACCAGCCTGGCCCATATGGTGAAATCCTGTCTCTACTAAAAATACAAAGAAAAAAAAAATTGCCAAGCGTGGTGGCATTCACCTATAATCCCAGCTACTTGGGAGTCTGAGGCAGGAGAATCACTTGAACTCTGGAGGCAGAGGTTGCAGTGAGTCAAGATGGCACCACTGCCCTCCAGACTGGGTGACAGAGCCAGATGCACCTCAAAAAAAAAAATTAATTCAAAATGGATTAGACTTAAATGTAAGGCCAAGGACTATAGAAATCCTAGAAGAAAACCTAGGAAATACCCTCTGGATATCAACTTTGGCAAAGAATTTATTACTAAGTCCTCAAAAGTAACTGCTACAAAAGCCTAAGAGTTGGCAAGTGGAATCTAATTAAACTAAAAAGCTTCTGCCCAGAAAAAGAAATTATCAACACAGCAATCCGAAAACCTACAGAATGGGTGAAATTATTTGCAAACTATGCATCCAACAAATATCCAGAATCTACAAGGGGCTTAAACAAATTTCAAGCAAAAAACAAAGAACCCCATTAAAATGTGGTCAAAGGATGTGAAAATACATTTTTCAAAAGAGGACATACATGTGGCCAACAAGCCGATGAAAAGATGCTCAGTATCATTAATCATTAGAGAAATGCAAATCAAAACCACAACAAGGCTGGGTGCAGCGGCTCAGGCCTATAATCCCAGCACTTTCAGAGGCTGAGGTGGGTGGATCACCTGAGGCTGGGAGTTCAAGAACAGCCTGGCCAACATGGTGAAACCCAATCTCTACTAAAAATACAAAAATTAGCTGGGCATGGTGGTACACATGTGTGGAGAATTGCTTGAACCCGAGAGGCAGAGACTGCAGTGAGCCAAGATTGTGCCACTGCACTCCAGCGTGGGTGACAGAGAGAGACCCTGTCTCAAAAAAAAAAAAAAAAAAAAAGAAAAGAAAAGAAAAGAAAAAAAACAACACAATGAGATACCATCCCACACAAGTCAGAAGGGCTATTATTAAAAAGTCAAAAAATAGCAGATGCTGGCAAGAGGTTATGGAGAAAAGGGAATGTTTATACACTGCTTGTGGGAATGTAAATTAATTCAGCCACTGTGGAAAGCGTTGTGGTGATTTCTCAAAGAAATTAAAACTGAACTATCAATTGACCCAGAAATTCCATTATTGGATATATATATATCTCTCTAAAGGAATATAAATTGTTCTATCATAATGACACAGGTACTCGTAGATTGACTGCAGCACTATTCACAACAGCAAAGGCACGGAATCAACCATGATGGATTCAGTAAAGAAAGCGTGGTACATACACACCGTGGAACACTATGCATTCATCATTAAAAAAATTAAATCATGCCTTTGCAGCAACATGGATGCAGCTGGAGGCCATTATCCTATGTGAATTAATGCAGGAACAGAAAACCAAACCACATGTTCTCATCTGTAAGTGAGACTTAAGTACTGGGCACACATGGGCATAAACACAGGAACACAGACACTGGAGACTACTAGAGAGAGGAGAGAGGGAGTGGGGCAAGTGCTAAAAAACTACCTATCAGGTATTATGCTCACTACCTGAGTGACAGTATCATTCATACCCTAAACCTCAGCATCACACAATATACCTATGTAACAAACCTGCATGTGTACCACCGATCTAAAACACAAGTTGAAATTACTTTTTTAAGTCAAAAAATAACAGATGTTGGCAGGGCTGAAGTGAAAAGGAGATGCTTATACACTGTTGGTGGGAATATAAATTAGTTCAGCCACTGTAGAAATTAGTTTAGGGATTTCTCAAAGGAATGAAAATAGAACCACCATTCAACCCAGCAATCCCATTACTGGCTATATACACAAAGGAAAAGAAATCATTCTACCAAAAAGATATATGCACTCATATGTTCATTGCAGCCCTATTCATAATAGCAAAGACAACGGAATCAACCTAGGTGCCCATATTGGTGGACTGGATAAAGAAAATGTGGTACATTTGCATTATGGAATACTACACAGCCATAAAAAGAATGAAATCATGTCCTTTGTAGCAACATGGATGCAGCTGGAGGCCATTATCCCAAGCAAATTAACACAGAAAATGAAAATCAAATACTGCATATTCTCTCTTATAAGTGGGAGCTAAACACTGTGTACACACCGACATAAAGATAGGAACCACAGACCCAACAGGGAGGAGGGCAAGGATTGAAAAACTATGTACTGGGTACTATGCTCACTACGTAGGTCACCCCAAACCTAAATGTCAGGCAATATACCCTTGTAAAAAACCTGCACATGTGCCCTCTGAATCTACAAAGTTAAAAAATTTTAATGCTTAAATTTAGGGGGTTTTGTGACTTTACTGGGGAAGATGATGTGGGGATAAGGAGTGGAGAAAGGGAGTATTTAAAAAGGTTAAGGATTTGTGTCTGAATTCCAGCTTAGAAAGTTGATAAACAACTACTTTAATCAATTATTAACTTTTAGTTGGAAAATTTTAAATTGGTTAACAAGTATTATTAGTCATAATTTGTATCTCTGGAGGAACTTTGGTAAGTTTATAGTGGAGGTAGCTCACAGCATACAAATATTACAATTACAAATTTAGACATTTTTTCACATTATGAAAAATGGAATACATTTCCATTTAACCTGAGAAATCTATAAAAACTGCTTAGACTTTTGATCCAAATAAGAACTGTGTTTAATTTATAAAACATGCCATGCTTATCTAATCCTTTCCTAGGACTAGTAAAAGGATTGCTGTCTTTTATTCTATGCAACTCTAATTTTAATAATGCAAAATCTGAAAACCTTATGTCAAAATATTGTCATTAATTTCTCTGAGAATACAGGAAAAATTCAACCAGAGCAAAACTTAGCATGTTATTGAAATCTACATCAAGAATATAAATACATTATGTTTTCCAAACATTATGCCTTAAGGTGAC